GAATTTATCACTCGTCGGGACTCGGGGACGGAGTCATGGATCGAAGGTGAATATTGATTTCTTCTCTTTTCGAATTTCGTGGGGTGGTAGGAAAGGGAGGAAAGAGGGAAGAGTGATTTCTCGGAGTGATCTTGGAACTAGAGAGATATAGGATGATGTGAAGGTTGTCGAGAAATTTGATGGAGTTTTGTTTTTTGCCAAGGTTTTAAATATATATGGGGCTAGATATTTGTGGTGAGATGGAAATATGTATACGTAATACGAATATTTTCTTTTTATATAATCATCTAAATTATATAATAAGCAGTTTTTATATTGATTTTCAAGTGTGTCTCACACGAAGATGACGATTAACACGTTGAACGAGTTTTTCGGCGTCCCAAATTTAAAATTATTTAATAAAATCATTATTCGTCATTATCTGCACTTAGAACACGTTGTAATTTTTGAAATGAATACGTGGATAATGGATAATGGTTCGTTCTTCCTTAATGAATGCGCAACGATCGATTCATCTCAAAACAATGGACTATAAAATTAATGGTTCGCGAAACATTATCCTCACCGTGCGGAGGATTACGTCCATTAATTCATAATAATCTCCACTAATTTTTTCCATAAAATTTCATATTTCACGAATTTTATTACGAATTCTGCAACAAACACTGATTCATTGTCCCAGTTAACCGCACGTAATTTCTTTCTTTCGTCCATTCATTTGTTTGACGAATGATTCGAAAGGAGGAACACGAAGGAATTCAATTACGATTTGTGGAATTACCCGTTGCAAATGCACCAGAGAACCACACTCTCGAGACACGCGTTTCACATTCGAGATTCTTAATTAATTCTCCCGTGAGATTTACGGTGCCATTCGTTACGTTCAATCGCGCTGTATATTCGTACACCGAATAGAACGTAATCGTAAGTATCGATAATATCAAGTTTTTCAAGATCACTATACAGTTGATTTCAGCTCGTTTTCGTCACGAGAGTGGACGCGGTATCAAATCGAACGAATAGAGTTTGAAATAAAATATCTTTGGTGTACTACACATTCGAAATATGTAAATTGTTTTATCGTGAAATTTCTCGAAAAGGAATACCGATATATATTATCACCATTGCTTGTACTATAAATTACAATAAAATTTCCCTATATAATATGATATACACTCAAAGATAAAAACTAAATCTAAAATTATCTTCCCAGTTTCGAAATATTAGAAATATCATTGGATAAACGGGCCAAAATTTTTTTCTACTTCTTTTTTATTTACCAAACGTGCATAAACCACGGCTTGGGATTCTAATCCGAGCACCGCGTAAACTATCCTTTAAGAGGCAGCAGCGTGTACGCTGAGAAATCAAGGGAATTTCGCTTAACGAGTCGATTAGAATTCGAGAGCCGAGCCGCGTTACAGGAATTTTATATCGGCGATTTATCGGCATATAGTTTAGGAGCTAAACGGAATTCCACTTTCCGAACCGGCAGCTTCCGTCTAATTTTATCGGCTTCGTTTCCTTCTACGTGCCGGCAAACATTCGAGGAATCGATATCGATTAGCATCGCGCGTTGGATGGCGAAAATCCGACCGTGTGTCGCCGTGATCGAGGCTTCGCTTATAGATTATAGAATCCCGATTTGCTTGCCGCGAA